AGAGGCGGCGGGCGGCGGCGGGACCGTCCGGGGAGGAGAGAACGAGCGGGGCCCGGGGAGCCCCCGCGGCAGCCCCGGCCCTCCCCGCCCCCCTCCCCTGCCAAACCGGCTGCGGGAGCCATTAGTGCCGGGACACAGCGCACGTACGGACCGGCCGGCCAAGGACGGACACACGGACACGCGGACACACGGACACACGGACACACGGACACAGGGACACGCGGACACACGGACACGCGGACACAGGGATACAGGGACACACGGACCGATGGACACACGGACACGCGGACACGCGGGTGAACACACGGACATGCGGATGGATGGACACACGGATGGACACACGGACACGCGGACACACGGACACGCGGACACGCGGACACAGGGACACAGGGACACAGGGACCGATGGACACACGGACACACGGACCAATGGACACACGGACACATGGATGGACACACGGACACGCGGGTGGATGGACACACAGACACACGGACACACAGACCAATGGACACACGGACACACGGACACACGGACACACGGACCGATGGACACACGGACACACAGACCAATGGACACACGGACACACGGACACACGGACACACGGACCGATGGACACACGGACACACAGACCAATGGACACACGGACACACGGACACACGGACACACGGACCGATGGACACACGGACACACAGACCAATGGACACACGGACACACGGACACACGGACACACGGACCGATGGACACACGGACACGCGGACACGTGGATGGACACACGGACACATGGACACACAGACCAATGGGAACACAGACACACAGACACACGGACATGCGGACACACGGATGGACACACGGACACGCGGGTGGATGGACACGTGGACACACGGACACACGGACACACAGACCAATGGGCACACGGACACACGGACACGCGGACACGCGGACACACGGATGGACATACGGACACACGGATGGACACATGGACACACAGACATGCGGACACACGGATGGACACATGGACACACAGACACACGGATGGACACACGGACACATGGATGGACACATGGACACACAAACACACGGAGACACG